CTGCATTTGATTTGATGTAGCCTTTAATCTTACTAAAGTAATGCCTTCTTCCTTTAAATACACAGTTAATTTACTCTTTTGGGAAATGAACATAGTTTCTTATAAAGTGAAAGACATCCAGGTCGCGTGTGTGCAGGAGAGCAGCATTTACACGTACATAACACATATACACCAAACATAGATGTACACAGTTCCCTTTTGGTGTATAAGCAGGGCTAGCACGACAAAATGTCCTGTGTTCATTATGATATTAATTGGAAAAGTTAAGGGTGGTGCCTAGTTCATCTTGACTGGAAATTGATGAGATTTCGGGTTGTCCTGACATTTTCTAATATTCTTTTGGCTTCACTAAGAGCTCTTCCCGACCAGATTTGGTTTTGTCCAAATCAAAGCTTAACTCTTTCTGAGGAATAAAATTATTGATGCTATTTGTCATTTTGTGTCTCCTTGTGTGGTGACAATGGCATTGGTAGCTGCCTACATTGCATGACTCATTGTATGCTGTCTGTAATAGTGTCTGTGATGTATTTGTCTCTGTCTTCTCTTGGCACATTGCCTTTAGATGTAACTTTTAAATGATGTAAGGTTGAAGTGTACTGTTAAGCTGGGACCAAAGAACCTTGTATATTAATATAACTACTGTACTAATGGTGGGATTTTTTTTTTTTTTTTAAGAATCCAGAACTACAGGAGATTGTACAGCATAATTAAGGTATACATAATTTTAGCCCAGTAAAAAAGACTTACAGCAAAGTAGTTTATCCATCATGCTCTGGAAATAATCAGTATTACATTAGTGAAAAATATGGACCTGCCTTGCTGTAAATGCATCTGTGCTACAGGCTAAGTATTGAACACTATTAATATGTAACTTTGATTAATCTCCTGTAGGAAAGAATACATTTGCTATCTATTGCACTACTTCCAGAAGCAGTTCTCATAACATTTCTTGCTACGGATATGTATTTACATCACGTAATGCATTTCCTCAAACATAGTCTCTATCAATAGGGAAATTTCAATGCAATACTATGTTCACTCCTTTTATTTACCCTAGAATATATTACTAAGTAAGTATTTTATGTAAAAAAGTATTAAAAATAAATATTTCTACCATCTTCTTGGTAACTGTATCTTTTACTGCACATTCTAGTCCTTTCCTCCCTATAAGGCGTATGGAAGTTGTTTGTACATTTTAATGTGTGAGAATAAATAGAATCACATCAGCACTAAGGAAATAATTTTAATTCCTCTAAAATCCTCTAAATATGTAGCAAATCATGCAAACAATTGTTTTTCCTAATTAGTTGATTTTCATGACTTGACAAGTGCAGTAACAATAATCTACTACCTCTTCACATCTACAGAATCTCACTGAGAAAAGAGGCAGACCTGGATTTCTTACATCAAAAGCAGACAGCAATATTTCCCACTTGATCTTTCCTTAAATAGGAACATTTTAGAACTTGCTTATCCATTCCAAAGTAAAAGACTGCAAACCTATTCCTTACAAGTTGTATTTAATAAGCTATGTCTGTCAAAAATTAAACAGCTTCTGGGTTTTAGAAAGTAGTTGAAGGCATTTAACCCTAAAATGCATATATTTCTGCTTCTGCATATATTCCTCAGCTGGCTTGGCAAAAAAAAAATCTGCAATGCACTGCAATTCATGCATTTTTTTGGAAGGCAAAGTTTGTGATGGGACTTTATACATGCACAGGTCACATGGAATTCATAGGTCAGGGGAAATGTTTATTCCCCACCAGCTCAGCACTCCCCATTCACCACACATGGAATATTTCCTCTGGAGCCCCTGCACAGGAGAGGTGTTGATGAGCATGAGTGAGCTCAGCATAGCCTTGTGAAGATGATCAGAGGGCTGGAAGATGTAGCCTAGTGTTGGAGGCTGAGTGAGCTGGGCCTGTGCTCTGCACAAGAGGGTGCAATAATAAAGAGAGTAGTAAAATAGCTTACTTAAAATACCCTTTCTTAAGATAGGGTAAACCCCAGAAAATATGGATAGTGAGGAAATCTTAGGTCCCTTCCAATGCTGGGAACTCCATTTTTGTGCAGCGTCAGACAGACATTTCATAGATCTTCCCCTGCACAGATGCCATCTGTGGAGGGGTTCCGCTTTCTTCCCAAAATGTGGAGCCTTTTCTTTTGTGTGGCAAACAATCACATGTATTTTCTCCTGGCAGGCTGGGATGTCATCTCATTCAAGATATTCACCACTGTCAGCACAGGCTTTAAGTACAAGGCTCAGCAGAACAGACACATACTGTTCAAGATCGCTAACTCCTTGAATACAACATATTCCACAATGCTCTCAATGTAGCTTGTTCAACCTGGAGGAGAGATACTTTCAGAGGCACTAACACTGTCCATGCAGTGCCTAGGAGGATGCTGGCAAGGGGTCTGAGCCAGGCTTTTACTTAAGTCATGCCAGAAGAATGAGAGAAGGTGGCCTGAATAAGGGGAGGTTCTGGTAAAACATAAGAGTAACTTTTTCAATGAAAATAATCATTTGTAGCCAGTTACTCAGGGAGGTTTGGGGTTCTAAGTTCTTGGTGGTTTTCAAGACCTGAATGGACAAAGCCTGGGTAAAGTGCTCTGAATTCAGTGTTGTCCTTGCCTTGAGCAGCTGTGTGATTCTGAAATTCAGAGCAGACAGCTAAATTGGAGTCTTAATCTGTGAGCTGAATCTCTCCCTTTAGCTAACTAACAAATATTAGATGACAGTCAATACTGAGAAGTTCAGCAGAAGTTAATTAAAATAATTTAGGAAAATAATTTAGCTTGGACAGGTACAGTTTGACAGTTTGGAATGAAGAAAAGCTGGGCAATGGGAGGACAATATTGGCATAAAAGAGAGCTAAGGCTGCTTAAACATTTTCATCTTTTATCTTAATTTTATTTTCTCAGCAAGTTATATTCTCAGAGTGGATTAAATTTCAATTTAACATTATCCTGACTATCCTCTTGCATGGATGCAAAAGACTGAAAGGGCACAATTATAAAGTTATTAAACCATTAACATATATTGAACTGATTATATGCAAGATAGAATAGAGTCTTACATCACTAGGACAATTTATACAAGGAGGGCCACCACCCTTCTTATAGACATAGCGAAGGCTACTTGTTTCACAGTGTGCTTGCCCTTTAGCCTGTGTCCACATGCTGGATGTGACACCTGGGCTGTTGCCCAGACACTGTGTGCTGTGTGTATGTGTAGAGCAAAAAAGAGTTGTGTGTTTCCAGGGATCTTGTTGGGCCATTCTAGATATAGCTGATAAAACACATTTGCCTGAAACATACATCTATCCATACCTTATGTATTGTGAGAAATCATACAAATAGGTATGATATTCTGGTTAGTTTTCCAACAGTATCCCAGAATTGACTTCTGTTGCATATACTGGGGTTTTTGCATATAATTTCTTGATATTGAAGTATAATAATGCACCATAAATTTATGTTTATCTTCCATGCCTGACCCTGAACTTAATATTCTCTTCAATATGTTCCTGTTTCAACCCACTTAATCTTAGCTCTGCTGAGATGTACGTGTTTACATCATATGTTACTGGAAGAATAAAGATCCCACTTGGCTTTTTGTTAAGTTATGGAGTGAAGATGGTCAAGGTAAAAGATTTTGAAGCACACAGCTGAAACTTAGTCTCCATCAAAAGACAGAACCTGAAATCAGCCCAACTGCTCTCCAGTGCAGTGTTTGTCATCAACAGCATTTCCAGGGGTTTATAGTTTGTGGTCAATTCAGTTACTGTTCTACAAGTTGCTGGGTGAGGGGAGAGTGAGGGTTAAGGCAAACCCATTTGTTCCCTCATGGTCTTGCTATGCCTATTTCCCACTAACTGAGCTAGATTCCAAATTGAGGAGGAAAACTAAAAGGAAACAACCTCAAGAATCCAAGTTTCCTATAAATAGGCCTTAATTTAGGAAAACAAAAAATCAGGTCTATTAGATTAAGTTGTTGTGATTCATAGTCTTTGCAACACAGTCTTAGAGAAAAGCTTTTGTAGACTCAGGCAGCTGCAGCAGTGTTCAGCCAAGTCTAGATAATGGATACTTACAGCTGCTGTCAGTGGAAAATCTTCCTGAGATTGTTCAGCTTCTCTGTTGTCTGTTCTCATAGTCATACCCTTCCATGAGCTATTAACATCCATTGCATGGTGGCAGATAAGGGGGAAAGAGGGAGAACAAAGAGGTCATGTAGATTTTTCAAACTTTTGTAGTCTACCTCAGCATCCTGTTTATGAATTTTGCCCTTCACTGTTTGTTGGTATGTGAAAACCTTTAGTAGCAGAGAAGTGGTAGTCTGTCTGTGAGCTTCCTGAGCTGGTCTTATAATATAATTGTGATCACAATGATTAATCAGCTTAGGTTTAGTATTATGTACTATATATGCAACATGGATATTGCTTTTCACCTTACTGGTTTCCTCCTCAGAAAGACTTCAAACTATCAGTGTCCTGACTGTAACCAGAAGGATATGAGTTCCCTAGCTTCAAGTAAGATTGCATACAAATATCTGTTCTTTTTCATATTAAACTGATCAATTTTATTTAATCTCTCTTTTGTGATTAGGAGGACGGGCTGAGAGATAGAAAAAATAAATCAGTTTAAATTTTCTATTCTTATCTGCCACAAACTTTATGCAAAGTCATACAGGAAAGTTAAAGAACAATGAATTTCTTCTGTTTATGGTACAATTTACATTTACAAAAATGAAAAGGTTTAGATACTGAAAAATTATCTCCCAGACTTCAGCACTATAATAGAGTAGAGACCTTTGGGTATTGTTTCATTATAGAGACCTTTTTCTCAGTTGGATTTGCCACTGAATTTTCACTTTTTTTTCCATTAAATTCTCAATATACTCACAATCCCAATAAAAGTAATTTATTTCACATGTGTTAGTTTTCATTTGCTGAGAAAAAACCTCTGAGTCTTGACCCTGTTTTGAAATAAAAATATTATTTTTTAAGGCAGTAGAAATATTTTTCTTTTTATTTTAGTACCAGGTGACTCCAAAAAAGAGAAGGAAAAAAAGAGCTATGGAAAAATGTATTTCTTTCTCTGTGCTACATTTAGGATGTGGTCATGCCCCAGGAGCCTGGAGGTTGCCTTTACGATGTGCCTGAGCTCAGGAATCCAATTTTATCTACGTATAAACCTTCCTCCCGCTTCTCCTAAAGTGTGCTTCTCTGGTTTGCGTAGAAAAATTTTTGCAAGGACTCTCCCGAGTAATGTCATTTGAGTACAAGTCTGGCAAAAGCTATTCGCAAGTTTGGGTTTTGACTGAAGTGAGCAATTGAATCACATTGAGCCTCTGAAGTTTGCCTTTTATTTATATATTTCCCCCAATTGTGTGGCTCGGTCTGCCATTGGCTGCTGTCCCTGCAGCCTACCCGAGGGCTCTGCAGTTACATAAGGCTCTGTCTGCTGGGAGCCTATATAAAGCCTTTTTGCATGCTAGCAAGAGGCAGAATCTTACCACGATCCAAGTCCCACTGTTTTAGTTCACATGAGCAAGAGGATTTGCTTGAAGATATCCTGAAACTCGAACCAGGCTGGTTTGTTTGCCAGCCAGTGCTTCACAGCTGTCAACATCAGCCGCAAGTGGCAGCTACTGTGATTAGCTTCTGTGCATCATGAAGAATTTTTCATTTCCTATGCAGGATAACACCCATCAGACTGAGAGTCCTCCTCCTCACAGATTCCCGAGTTTGACAAATCAGTCAGATCCTATTGGAAGACCAGAAAGAGATGAGCAATTAGCTCACATAGAGATTGCTGTACTGGGGGTGATATTTCTGACAGCGTCTGTGGGCAATTTCATTCTCATACTGGTGCTGTGGCGAAGAAGAAAGAAGCTGTCTAGGATGTATGTGTTCATGCTTCACCTCAGCATTGCTGACTTAGTGGTAGCCTTTTTTCAAGTGCTGCCACAACTCATATGGGATATTACAGATGTTTTCATAGGGCCAGATTTCTTGTGCAGAATTATCAAGTATCTACAATTGCTGGGCATGTTTGCCTCTACTTATATGATAGTGGTCATGACAGTGGACAGATATCAAGCTGTTTGCTACCCTATGGTCACTTTCCAAAAGAAGAGAGCTCTCTGGAACATCCCCATTTGCAGCAGCTGGTCTATAGCACTGATTCTTAGCCTACCACAGGTATTTATCTTTTCTAAGACTGAAATATCTCCAGGTGTCTTTGAATGTTGGGGTGAATTTATTCAGCCCTGGGGTCCAAGGGCATATGTGACTTGGATTTTTGTAGTTATATTCTTCATTCCCTCAGCAATCCTTATCACATGCCAGGTCAAGATTTGCAAAATAATCAGAAGAAATATAAATGTGAAAAAACAGAATGAATGTGACGCAACAAAGCAGAATCAAGTCCTGCCATCCCGAGCAAGCAGTGTGAACTGTATTTCAAAGGCTATGATCAAGACAGTAAAAATGACAGTGGTGACAGTTGTTGCATATGTTCTCTGTTGGTCACCTTTCTTCATTGCACAGCTGTGGTCCGTGTGGTTCCCCAGCATCCTGACCGAAGGTAAGATGCTCTCCCTCCTCAGTCACAGCTGCAGAGCAGGCTAGCACACTGCTGTTGAGTGCTTTATATTTGCATTTTGCTTTTGTGTAAAGGTTACATGTGATCATTTGAGGAGGATTAAAAAGAAATACCTGGATTGATTATCTCCTCTATTTAATTAGATACAGGGAGCTTCCTGTGTTATGTGATCAAAACATTATGCCTCTATTTTTTGTGTGTGTCTTGAGTGATTAACAATTTAAAGGTTCATGAACAACATGGTGAAAAGTATCATGTGCTTCAGCAAAGCCTCAGATTTTTAGGGGTTTTAGGTATTATAGCAGCAATATTTTGGGTTCTTGAGGTGAAAAGGAGCAATTGACTATTCAAAGTAATAAAATTATTTCTTATTTACTGGGTAGAACAGTGGTGTTATAAGACATCTGATTTTTTTTAAACTATTGAAATCATATTGATGAAATCTCTGTTGTAAACTATGAAACAACCAAAAGTTGTCAACCACCTGTTTATAAAGCAAAAAAAGTAAGCCTGAGAGAGTTATCATGTTGTAAACAAGATAGTCTTGTCAAATTTATACTATTGCCTTTCTGAAAGGCAGACATAATATGTGACTTTAAATTCACCTATTCTAAATAAAGAGGTAAAAAAGAGGAAAAAAAATAATAGTCCTGCTTGATAAAAACAGTAGTTTCTGAACTTTAAGAATACTTCCTGTCAGTTTAAATTTGAGTCTTATTCCACATACATTTCTGTCAAAATATGTGTCTGTATTTATTTGTATCTGTTTAACAGCTTAGTAGTTTCTTTTAAAATCAATGCAACTACATCCAAAAAGAGTTCTATGAAACTATTTAACTCTGAATGTATACAATAAAGTGTGCTTTATAACTTCAGCAATTGCAAATTGCATTGATATATAGGAATTTCTAACTATTAGATTAGTTTTAACATATAAATAGATGCAGCAGAAAGCAGCAGACTGTGAAAATGTGACTTATATTTATAAGAGTGTTTTATTTAGTCTCTTATTCCTTTAACTGTTTTGTTCTAGGTTCGGCATTCACCATTATAATGCTCCTTGGCAATCTAAATAGTTGTGCCAACCCATGGATTTACATGTATTTCTGTGGTCAGATTCCATATTGCACAAATAAGCAGCTGGAGAATGCCTCGGCTCAAGAGGAATCTGTGTTCACAGGGAGCATTCATCTCGTAGACAGAGACCCTGAGGATAACAGTACGTCTGCATAAATGCTGAGAGCTTTTTGTTGTTTTGTTATATTACCTCTGTTCACAAGACCTACTGATATTTTACCACCATCCCTTTTTTTGTGGATAAGGAAGCTGAAAAATTATTTTGTGTTGTAAAAATATATTTCTCTGCAGTTCTTAGCATATTCAGGAAGTTTCTGTGTTGTGCAAGCCTGATTCAGTGCTTCAATCACCACTGTCTTATAAGAATGAATTCCTGTAAAGACTGAAAAAGATATGTAAAAGCATCTTAGATATTTTGTGTCCTAAAGTACTTCCCCATCTGTGATTCTGGATTTCTAAGTGGTAAAATTTTTTTACTACCTCATCCAAAAAATTGAAATATAATTGAAAAGGAACCTGATGTAATTAAACTTGAATATGTTTTCAGAGTGAACCATGAATTGTTTGTCATTCTGGTGTGATTAAGAGACAGTGATAAATCTTGAGAAGGCAGCACAAAGTCAGAAAAAGCTTTTGCCAGCTCTTACTAATACCTGGTTTAAATTAACTCTTTAGGTACATTTATAAAATGCCAAGCAATTAGTATCCCTTTAGGTTCAAATTCAAATATTTCCCTTTGCTTTAAAAATAAATCTGCATATCTTTATTTCGAGTGCCACTTGGTTGCTGGTTTGTGGGTGTTATATTCAGGTAGCTATTTATTTCCTTTCAATGTCTGCAATCTGATCAGAGGAATATGGAAGTAATATCAGCAAGGGTATTTCAGGTGAGAATGGATCTGCATTCCCAAGGACTCTTTGTGTCACTTACATCTGGTGACATGTAACCTGTCTACATTATACTGTGTTTCATCACATTTCAGTTTTCTGAGTGCTAGCAGTCTCAAATATCAGTAGAAAAGCCATAAAATTTTGCAGTTTTAATAGTCTTTAAATTGTAGTCAAAGAAATATTTATTTAAACTAAATACTGATCACATAGTGAGAAATTTTGCTGCACAGTGAATAGTTACACTTCAGGTTAATTTATGCCGATATGACTGCATATTCTATGATTTCTATTCTCTGTATAATTAGACCAGATAAGGGCAAGAACCCTTTATAATGAGAAAGCTAATGCCCCAGCCCAGCTGACAAGAACAGGTGTCCAGCTGTTAGGAAGAGGAAGAAGGTGGGTGAAGGTAGTACCAGGGCCAGGCAGGAATGGGAAGGATTTGTATGAAAAATCTTACTATAATTACAGCTGATAGATTTTCTTACTGTTCCCCCCCTCTGCCTTTAATTAGTAGCTAATAATTCTACCCCACAAAAAAAAAAAATTGTTTGGGCAAATCTGTAACTCAAGTGAAGGTCCTCATCTGGGATAAGAATATCCAAGATAATATCCAAGATATCCATTATTGATAGGATATTGATACAGCCACTCACTGACTTTCTAAGACTTTCAGTCAATTAGCTTTCAGTGAAGCTTTCCCTTATGACTTAATCCAATGGTTAATGGTGGGATTTTTGGGTTTTTTTTCCATTTCCTTTGATTGTAGTTAGTTACACTGCATAATATGCAGACTTGAAAGGAACTGTAAACAGAAATGCTTCAAGAAATCACCTGTGTCACTGAACTACTGTATAGGCAGCAAAACTCCTCAAAAGGCATTAATTTGCAAAGAAAACAGGCTTTCAGATTGTGTGCAAAGAGTCATCCAGATCCAGAACTGATTGAAGTCACAGTTCTGTTCAGAAACCACAGTGTAGCTCTGCCATTTAACACCACCTGATCCAATCTCTGATAGAAGCTTAAAGATATCATTTCTACTACTTTCCTTTTTGCATTGCTGATATATTTGTTACTGGCTCTATAAATAGTTTAGTAGAGTCAGATTTTGCAAATAACAGTACCTCGATGTGTTCATTAAAATCTGAGAGAAATGTTAACTGTCCCTATTTCAGATATTTTAATCATGTATCAAATGAAATATCAGAACTTCTTAAGTTCAATGATGATTTTTCACCATCTGTAATGTTCAAAACACTTACATTTTTGTCTCTCAAGTGCTTTCTTTCTGATTTTTTTTTTCATTTTCCTTCCCCTAACATCAGTCCTGATCTTAAAAAGAAAAGTAAAGGTTACTGTACCATGGTGTGAAGTAGAGGCTAAAGATACTTTTAGTTTCAGTCTGTCAGGAGGTATTTGAACACAGGTATTCCTGCTTTTTCACTTAGGAAAATGAACTGGGCTGCATTTTCCAGATATACATTCTTATCCATCATGCCCTGCCTTGCCTACCCTATGGGTAGCACTGACTGACAGTTTTAGTGGGGAGTTTGGTTCAGGGCCACTGTCTTTCCATCAAAACTCATTTTCAAAATAATGGGAAATTAATTCGGGTAACTTTTTTTCCTTTTCCTTTTTTTTGATTTTTTTTGGGTTTTTTTTAATCCTTATGAAGTGCCCCTTTCATGACTTCTCTTATTTATTAAAAAAAAAATTAAAACAAAATAAAATTTATAAAAATTTTCTCTTAGTAAATTTATCTATCACTGCTCTTGGAAATTGTTGTTTGAACATCTTGTGCCCCTGTTTTACTTTGTATTTTGAGTCTTCATCTGAACTGTATGTTTTTCAATTCACTTCACCTAGATTTCCAACAGGTGTTGCAGTATCTCATTAAGAGAGAAGGTTGACTTTGGGACAACACTGTATTCTGGCAAAGGTGTTTAATCCATATGGGAGAATCAGTAACTCAAACATATGAGTCCCCAGGAGCACTGTGGAAGCCCATAAAAATGGAAAAAATCCAATTATCAGATGAAAGCCTTTCTCATCAAAGCCTAGGTTCTGTTTTCTCACACAAATAAATTCTGAGTTAAAAAAAAACCTAGTGTTCCCAGTCCTGAAATGAATGACTATGTTGTTGATGCTGGCACTGTGACATGCTTTCTGGTTATCTGGGTGGGAATTTTTTTTTGCTTTTCATGATTTTGTTACTACTTGGGAAAGGCACGGTTGACTAAAAGGAATTAGATTCTTACTTAAAAAATAGTAGTTGATATTTTGCAGTACAGATAAGAACAATGAAAGACAATGTAATCTATTGGTTCAGCATAGATTTATTATAGGAAAAAGAAATTATAAAAACAACCTAGTAGAATGAAAAGAAAATCCCAACATGTTTTGCATTCTTAACAGTATATTTGATCATTCTTTTATTCCACAGAACTGCCTCTGTATTTTCATAGCCAGTCCCAGTTCACATTCTTGTGAATGGTGAATACTGAAGATAGAGGTGTTGCATGATAATCTTTTTAACCTTGCAATGAAATAATGCTGAGGAATTTTAAAGATGGTGCCAAAATAATGTCCTGAAAATTTCACTTTGATAATTTAGTTCTTACAAGAGAAACTGGTTATCGAGTTGAATAACCTCAGGAGCCTGTGTCTGTGTTGCTGGGGGATGACTGGCCCAGTTGGAACTGGCAGGGTTTATTCTATGAGGCAAACATGGCTGTAATCCCTAGCTGTCAAACACATGACCAGGACAAAACTATCCTCAAGAGGTTGTGAATGTTAGCTATTTTTGGCATAAGGGTGTCATGAACTGACAGAGGCAGATTGGAATGACCCAGCTAATCAATTCATGTAGGAAAATTCAGTTTGGGTTGGATTCCTTAGAGCAGGGAAAAAAAAAAAAAAAAAAAAAAAAAAGAAGAAAAAAAAAGAAATAGTTGCTTTCTGACTTCATAAGGTAGAGATTTGGGCCTGAATGCCCTGGCTATCTACAGGAAACATCCATGACTATGAAACAAATTGCTCATACAGCAGCAAAACAGGATTGCAAATAGTTCAAATAGGAATTGTGTTACTTGTAGTAATGCAGCCACAAGTAATTTATTCTCTACTGAGGCTCTTTTTATCATGATCCATAGCTCATCCATATAGATTTTAATTGAAAGGAAATCATGCTGTTAAAAAATCAGAAATAAAAACTGGTCTAATCTATCCTACCAGATCAAAACTCTGACTGCCATTCCAAATCATACCTCTTCAGCCCTATGTGTGCCCAGCAGCAGGTCCCTCTCTGCTCTCCTGCTCCCTGGTAGAACTTTATGATCTGCAAAATATTTCCCAAACTCCACCTGCCTTAATCTCTTGCTAAGGTTGTCTTCACTTTGCCTCCCTGAAACAAAAAGACAGAAGCTGTGTCTTTTCCCTGGGCTTATATGATGCTCCTGCAATTACCACTTGAGGACTTTCTGAAGGTCATCTCATTAAGGGGACAGATTCTGGGCATTTTTACTACCCCTGCATAAATTTTTTATTAATTTACACTTCACTTTTTTAGGAGCCAAAGGAAAAGCAGACTTTGAGTGAAACTAAGTAGCCATACTCATTCCCTCATGCTTCCTTTTTTTGCCAGTGCAGCAGTCCAAAGCATACCCTTTCTGCCAGTAGGTTGTAGCAACTAATTTAACTGAGGTGTGTCATCCATCTCTATAATGAACTTTGGGGGCAGTGAAACTCTAAGCAATGGTTTATTGCCTTTCCATCCAAATGTTGTCCTAGAGATATAATGCAAACCTATTCAAGTGCTATTGTACTCATCAGGAGCTTTCTTATATCATGGCTCACACTTTGAACAATCTTCAGTATTTTGAATTTGTGCTTCTTGCATCTATTTCAGTATTAAAAATTATTAAAATTGTGTGTTACCCAGATTTTAGCTACAAATCTTCTGAATTCTGCATTAACAATGCAGGAATCAGTAGGACTTTGTGGAGGAAACATTACATTGCCATCTGGAGAAGTTTTAAAAAATGCCAAACAAAAACATTTGAACTTGAAGATCTCTGGAAATTATGGCTGAGGAGGTGGCTATAACGAGAAAGACATCTCCTTACATGCCAGTGACCACTTTTCAGGACAATTGATGTAGCAAAAAATACTAAGACCCAAAAAAGATGTGATATTCTTGTTATCATTGTTATAATTTCCATCATCGTCATCATCATCATGATCATCACCATCATCACAATTATTTAAATGAAATCATTGTATATCCTACAATAAATTTTAAAAGAAAACAAATTTAGGACAGTGTGACAAATGTAGATCACTTATGAAGCTGAAATATGAGAACAATGGTTTCAATCACAAATGTACATTTTATATATGATGCTGCTATTTTATTTAGCAAAAAAGAATAAATTTTTTAGTTCCAATATTATTGTTGTGCATTGAATTCCATGAAACTACCTTAAGATGAATTTTGGTAAAAAATGTTAAAAGTTTGTTTCATGTTTACACATTTACTTAGATATTAAACCAAAATTTTTGCTTTAAGATGCCATTCTTGTATTCCTTAGCTTATTCATGAGTTCAGTTAGCTTATTCATGAGTTCAGTTATTCTCTTTATCACCACCTTTGAAGAGATAGTAGGATACTAAATTATCTGCTAGCTATCACAGTGCATTGGAAATATTTGCCCATGTCTCTAAATGTGTTAATAGATGTTTGGTCTCAAATGATTTAATGCTGAGTAACTCCAGCTTTTGACTTACTGATGGGAAAAATTGTACTTTTTAATGGAGAATATAAGCCTTCTGGCAAGCAGAGTCATGATTTGAATGCAATGCCTATTGATACATTCAATACAAATTACAGTCTACTGGGAATGTGATTCATACTCCTGATCTTTTAATGACAAGGTTCATGTTCTGAGATGATATGTGTTTGTCTGTAACCATCTCTTCCCAAAGAATATATAAGAAAAACCTTAGAAAAGTAGTTCTTATTTTTTAGCTCAGCAACTGTGAGTACTGAATCTTGGATTTCAATGCATTTGCTGTGAAAGATGAGGTTAAAAACATTATTGTCACATTTGGGCTTGTTTTGTTTGCATTCACACAATAAATTAATGCTAGATTGTATGTATGATCCTTACATGTAAATTGTATCAAAGGAATGATACCACTGCAAGTTGAACGCTTAGGGCTCTGGACTCATAAAATCATAGAATCATTAAGGTTGGAAAAGACCACCACAGTCATCAAGTTCAAACATTAATCCAGCACCCCAATGTTCACTAGTAAACCTTATTCTCAAGTGCCACGTCCACATGCCTTTTAAACCCTTCCAAGGATGGTGATTCCACCACTTCCCTTAGCAACCTCTTCCAATGCCTGATGCCTCTTCCTGAAAAAGCTTTTTTCTAGTATCTAATCTAAGCCTCCCCTGACACAACTTGAGGTCATTTAGTCTGGTCCTCTCACCTGTTACCTTGGAAAAAAGACTGATGGCTGCCTCACTCCTTCTTGAATGTTAGCATGCATGTGCATAATGCACTAGGTTAATGCCATGGATCTGCTACAGGACTGCTCTGCAGCTGCTCCTGTGGATCATGGATGAAATGTGCCAAACATGTTCTGTGCACAGTTTTTAGGAAATTTTCCTCCCAAATGCTCCCCAGGCAGGAGTAAGATGGCACTAGGAGTACATATACACTAATGTTGCATACTGTAAGGGTGAAGCGCTCTGTGTTTATATTGTGGACAGTGGTAACAACAGATGATCAGAACTTGACCATCTGTATTATTAACAAGGCTATCTTCCCTTGAAAATATGAACATAAACAGGCAAAGTGATCAAGGAGCATCTCAGGTGCCTCCCCACACTGAAGGCACTAGTACAGGCATATCCACAGGTACTTCTTATGTGTTTTTTTGTGTCATGAAACAATGCATCGAGTATCCAGCTGGGCATGGACACACCAAAATGAGCAATCAGCGTGTGGAAGTTGACGTCACTGTGGACAAGTCCTGCTGGGGTGCCACTGCCTGTTTTAGGAGTCCACAGGGCAGAGGTGCTCTGTGGCCCAACACTCTCCCCTCCTTCACCTCTTCTTTATTCCATGAGGATGAAAGGAAGAGACAACACATAGTTCCATCTCTGCAACTTAAAAATGCATTGATGTGTAAATATCTTCATCTTTTGATTCATTTCACTGAAATGTCACCTTAGTCTGGTAGTTCTGGCATTGCTCCCAAAAGATTCTGCAAGACAAGGGCATTAAGCTGTGATAGAGGTTTTTTTCTGCTGAGAATGAGACAGTTAAACTCATCTTACTTGCAATTTAAGCAAGGACTGTATGCCATGAAGAGCTGAATTTTGTATTAATTACCTGAGGGACACCATAAAAATTGGATTTTCAGTCACTGAAATTAAGAAACCAGACTGACTGAACAGCTGATTCATTTATTAATTCAGTAGCTTCATGTTTTCCTTTAATAAAGATTCTTTTCTGTAAATTAAAGCAGATGAGAGGAATATCTTAAATGTAAAATTAGTCTAATCCTATTGAATTTTAAGATGTGCCAAGGCTGCAAGATAGAATTAAATCATTGATAGAAGACAAAGAATTAACTTGAGACTTTGATATTTAAAATAGATACAGTATTTTATGTGTACCCTCTGTAAAATAACTGGAGGCACAAAAGGACTATCCATAGAAAGCTATAGAATACTGTTTTATAAGTCAATTTCTAAGGTAAGTCCATAATTTTAAAATAAAAATATCCATGTCAGATATAGATATGTTTATATGTTAAAATTTAATCTTGTGATTTGATACAAACTGCATCTTGTAATACTCTGATTTTTTTCTATAATGTGCTCCAAAGATGAAATATTTTCTCTGCCTTCAGGTTAAGAAATCATTTACAAGTTTATGAATGCAGTTTTGTCCTGGAGGGAAATGTGGAGTTGATTCAGACAGAAGTCTCAGAACTGAATTGCATTTAAATTATTCATGAACATTTTGCATCTATAAGGGAAAGGAATTGTGCAAGCAGCACTGTTTTTATAGAAGTTATATTGTTAGTATGCTAAGTAGCTAGAAAGTGTCATAATGTGGTAGTATATAAATATCCCTTACCTTCCTAGTTAATATTTTGACACCGTATAATTTCACATTTTTAGCAATATAATTCACGTTGTAATAAAAATAGAAAAATTAAATAGAAATAAATTTGAAAATCCTTCTCTGAAAAACGTTTTAAGCTCTGCTTCTTTAAATTCAGCTCTTCATGGTTTGCTCCACAGCTCTCAAAATTAATATGTTCATTTTATTAATTTAAGTTATTTTAAAGTGTCTCAGATCTCTGATTTTTTCATAGAAGAGTTTTCATTAGTGACAAAAATATTTAGACTTCACTGTTTGGAGAGTTGACCCTGTCTGGTCACCAGGTTCCCACCAAAGTCACTCTATCTTTCCCCTCCTCAACTGGACAAGGGAGGGAAAATAGAATGAAAGGCTCGGGGGTAGGGATAATGACAAGGAGAGGTCAGTCATCATTTATGTCACAGGGGAAACAGACTCGGCTTGGGGAACTATTTTAGTGTATTGCCAGTCAAAATCAGAGAAGGATAATGAGAAAAAACCCAAATCCTAAACCCCACCTTTTTCACTCCATCCTTCCTTTCTTCCCAGGCTCAGCGTCACACCCGGATTGTCTCCCTCCTCCCTGCAAGTAGGACAGGGGGGAGGGAAATGGGGGTTGGGGTCGGTTCATCACATATTGTCTCTTCTGCTCTTTCCTCCTCATGGGGAGTACTCTTCATAAATGTTGCCCTGCTGCAGCATAGGGTTATTGCCACAGGAGACCATCCTTCATGAAGTTCTCCAATGTCAGTCCTTTCCATGAGCTGCAGTTGTCACAAATTACTCCAGCGAGGATTCCTTCCACAGTCAGTCCTTCAGGAACAGACTGGTGCAGCGTGGATCCTCTGCAGGGTCACAAGTCCTGACTGCAAGTCCTGACTGCCCACCCCTAGAATGTGCTGCACACTGAGACTGAGAAAGATCATCCACAGAATGTGCTTAATATATTTGGTGTAATGCACATGATAAATCAGAAAAATGGCATGATTAAAAAAAACCCCAAAACATTATCAAATCCAAGGTTTGAAACCTAGTGCATTTAGACATAGAAACAAAGATCCACTTAGCAAAATGGCAAGGAGAAATTTCCATTTAGGAGAAGATACTTAAAAAGCTTTTTCATATCTTAGGCTATTTAGGACCAGACCACTTACTACAAAAATAAAAATACAGTAAAGTGCAAGCATGATTATTGCTCAATCATACAACATCCCTATAAACAAAAGTTTGTCTCATTTGTCTGTAATAAAGCATGGTTTGGCAAAAGGGTGCATTATGTGGAAATCTGTGGTTTCCTTTGTGGTCTGGAGAAAATGGGACTATTTGTCCTTGAGTAGGCTTTAAAACAATATTGTCAAATACTTTAATGTGTCACATGCAGAACGATGCTTAGAAGCCAGTTCCATGCTGTGCAACATTAGCACAACAACATCCACGTGTGCTGGCAGTTGTTGGGTTGCTGTGTATTTGAGCAGCACATTTGCAGCCTGCCTCAATACCAAGCAGATACATTTAAGGAAGCACAGATTGTAGACAGCAGGCAGTTAGTAGCCAAGCTTTTGTGCAGCGCATATGCTACAGAACAGCAAATTATCAGAGAGATGAAAATATAGGTTTGAAGGTCAGTGAACAATGCCAATTTGTATGACACAATTGCAAAAGCATTTGTGCCAATTTTTTCCTACACCCATGAGAACATCTACAAATTACATAATAACTATTAAAGTTTGCAACTTGCTCCTTGGCAGAAGAACAATTCAAAATTAAAGCTGTTTATATAACTTTTTTTTGATGTCTGTAGTTTGAAGCTGATTCCTGCTTGAACAACTGGTACCTTTTTTTCCTATGTCTTGGGATTTTTTAATGAAGTTTCATAGTGCTCTGTTCAACATTAAAGTTTCAGTGACTAAATCATAATGTCGGAGCCAATGGGTATCTAGCAAGTGACAACAGCCTGCCATCTTTTGTGTCTCCTAGTCTTAAGTCTGGATGAAAACATTAGGATTCAATGTAATGCAAAGGTCTGAAAGAGCCCTTGTGTATTGTCCTCAAGGGCTGCTCGGGTCCCTGGCATTCTCTACATAATATCTGGAGGAAGAGGTGATATACATTTTATTCTTCTGCAAGGGATATGTGGCCATATAAGTAGATTTCTGGTCCACACTAATGTGTTTTTCAAACAGGAAGAGACTATTATATAAACCAGCTATTCTTTTCATTGTCCCCTTATCATATACACTATGAAAAAAGATGCTTAAAACAGTCTATTAAATATGATTATACTGAGTGCTTCATAAACAGATAAACCATTCCTTCCACATGATATTCACCACATTTTTAAGACTAAATACCATATTAGTAGGTGGCCAAAGATAGAAATTTTCCATCAGAGAGTAATCTGCAAGTATGAATATTTTCCTAACATAGTTTGTTTGCTTTTCACTCCTTATATCAGCTATTGAACACAGAGGCTTCCAGCTGTCCTGTCCTTCAGCAGTTTCAGCCCAGATACAAAACCATGACTCACAGATAACAATACCTAGAATTAATGCTGGTAAATAAATGAGTGAAACCTTTTCTGCTTTCATCAGCTACCCATGGCTCTTTATCTTCAAGTGACAATACAATGCAATATACAATATGTATTTTAGACACCCATAGTGATGTAGTTAAAGAAAAAGGCCAAGATATGTGTCTTTTTAGAAAAGGCAGCCTTTAAATGTAAGTCTTTAGAAGAACAGCTTGTTTATTGAAGAACATAGATTGATTTACAGATGTCATTTTAAATACAAATCAGTTATATTCTTAGAGGTCCTTCAGTTTGTCTACCTGAATAATAAAACAGTGAGGTTGAAATGGATAAGAAAAAACAAAATGAGACAGTGGGAAAGGAGTAAGAGCCTTGAAAGTAATCTTTGAATAAAAATGTGAATAAAATAATCATGTACAATAAAGAGAAATAGACCCTTGGATACCAGTGAATGCTCTTGA